TGCTTTCTCGCCTGACTCAGGAGAATTGGTCTCCCTGGGCCCTGTCAATCATAAACACACCTGCCCTTGCCTTCCTCTGCCCAGACTTCCAAGAAATGTGTCAATGGATGAAATAGGAATTTTTTTTAACCTGGCTTAAAAAACATTTAGTATGGGGCGCCTGGGTGGCTCAGTTGGTTAAGTGACTGCCTGCGGCTCAGGTCATGATCCTGGAGTCCCTGGATTGAGTCCCGCATCAGACTCCCTGCTCAGCAGGGAGTCTGCTTCTCCCTCTGACCCTCCCCCCTCTCATGTGCTCTCTCTCATTCTCTCTCTCTCAAATAAATAAATAAAATCTTAAAAAAAAACATTTAGTATGAATATTTCTACTCTCTTCAGATATTCTTGAGGTTAAGGTATTAGGATACAGTAATAGGTATCTGCCAAGTTACACGTCAGTCCTCGATAAAACCTGTGTGATGGGTAGGTGTTACCTGGACCTTTTTTGTCTTGGACACTGAACTCAATTATCACATGTCTGCTTACCCATTTTCCTTCTTTAAAAAAAAAAAAGATTTATTTAATTTATTTATTTGAGAGAGAGAGAGAGAGTGGGAGGAGGGTCAGAGGGAGAAGATCTTAAGCAGACTCCCTGCTTAATGTAGAGCCGAATGCGGGGCTCAATCTCATCATGACCCTGAGATCACAAACTGAGCTGAAATCAAGAGTCAGATGCTTAAGCTACTGAGCCACCCAAGCACCCATTTATCCATTTTCAATGGAGAACACTGGATTTTCTCTTTTTTTTTTTTTTAAAGATATTATTTATTTATTTGAGAGAGAGAGAATGAGAGACAGAGAGCATGAGAGGGAGGAGGGTCAGAGGGAGAAGCAGACTCTCCGCTGAGCAGGGAGCCCGGGCTGGATCCTGGGACTCCAGGATCATGACCCGAGCCGAAGGCAGTCGCTTAACCAACTGAGCCACCCAGGCGCCCCCACTGGATTTTCTCTTCCCGAGTATCGAGTATCGGCCTGAGTCATTGTTGTAAACTCTGCTGCCTGAGGTAGGACATCAGGTAAGGATCTCTTTGATTAAGGCTCCTGAAGAGTATCTCCAGGGCCAGAGGCCCTTTCTTCTCCACCATCCTCAGCAAGGTTTCATTCTTCCTCTGCTGTATTGGCAACTGCTGCACCAGCTCCTTCTCTTCCTCAGTGAAGACCTCACTGTCCTGAAGATCATCCAGTACTGCATTCAGGTCCCCCAGCCTGGCTTGCAGCTGCCGGTGGTGCTCCTTCATGAAGGCCACAACTGGGCAGAAGAAAGAGTTGCAGACTCAGAAAGGGATAGCTCACTTATGGGGTTTGGAAACTATGCCCAGCTTAAAGACCTTTCTTTTCTTTTTTTTTTTGAGTAGGCTCCAGGCCCAGCGTGGAGCCCAAAATGGGGCTTGGACTGATGACCCTGAGTTAAGAGCTGAACTGAGATCAAGAGTCGCACACTTAACTGACTGAGCCACCCAGGCGCCCCTTAAAGACAGAATTCTGTGTGGAGATATTGCTCATTGTCTTTTGCATGTTGCCCAGAGCTTACACACACATCCTCGGGGTTCCCAGTCCATTCTCAGGGGTGTATGAATTTAGGGAAACTCAATGATCCCTCTTCTTCAATCCCATTCCCTCCCCTCCAAGCTTTGAGCACCTCTCCTTCTTCACTTTCTGGTTTTCTTTGGAACCTAGAGAGGACTCTATCTTGCTGTACATTGATCTATTCATCCTTCTAACAATTTCCAAGTTCATACATTGGTATGCATGATACCAGAGGTGCAGGTGGACTAGACCAGCTCCCTACCCTTAAGGGTCTTCTGATAAACTGTGTAGAAAGAGATTTAACCAGGGGCGCCTGGGTGGCTCAGTTGGTTAAGTGACTGCCTTCGGCTCGGGTCATGATCCTGGAGTCCCGGGATCGAGTCCCACGTGGGGCTCCCTGCTCGGCAGGGGGTCTGCTTCTCCCTCTGACCCTCCTCCCTCTCATGCTCTCTGTCTCTCATTCTCTCTGTCTCAAATGAATAAATAAAATCTTTAAAAAAAAAAAAAAGAAAGAGATTTAACTGGTTACGTACAACACAGAAGGGATTGGGAGCACTGGAGAGACAGGATTTTGCATCGTGCTGACTCAGGATTCATGCTGGTGCCCATATATAATACCTGCGTGACCTTGGCTAAAACATACTGCTTTCGTGTTCCTCAGTTTCTTCATTAAAGGCATGATTGCCTTTTGTTTTGTTTTTGAGAAAGAGAGAGAGAACCAGTAGGGAGAGAAGGGCAGAGGGAGAGAGAGAGAAAATCTTAAGCAGGCTCCACACCCAGCGTGGAGCCGGACACGGGGCTTGATCTCATAACCCTGAGATCATGACCTGAGCCGAAATCAAGAGTTGGACGCTTAATCGACTCAGCCACGCAGGCACCCAAAAAGGCGATTGCTTTCTATGTACAACTCATGCCTCTAGAACTTCTGTTCTAAACACAGTGGCTCAGATCATTAATGTCCAGTCATCGCAACTATAACCAAACAGCTTAATTTAATGATGGGATTTCTGTGAAGTCTTGGTGTTTCTTTTTTTTGTCTTGGTGTTTCTATTGAAAAGTCATTGGAAGAGTACGTTCAGCGTCTCCTCAATTTAAATGAATGAAGTTGCTGTCACAGAAACATTCTCAGTTTAACCTATTCTTCCTGCCTCAATTGTTTTCACCCTGCCCATTTGTTCAGCAACTTCTATTCAATCTTCCTAACTGGACGTAAACTTCACTTTTTTCCTCTCTCCAGGATGCACTCTGAAACTTTTCAACTCCCTCAATGTGAGATCTGAGCCCCCCGTCTTATCCTCTCCTAAATCCCTCCAATTTTCCTTTGGAAAACATACCACAACTGTATCTTGATAAGCACTGTGAAATCAGCTTTGTTGTTTTCACCTGCTGGAACAGAAACCCCATGAGTGCGGGGTATGTGTCTGTCTCCGGCTACACTCCGTACAGGATTGCTACTTCATGGCCATTGCCATGTTTACTCTGACACTCCTCCATGATTCTCTGGGGAAGCCAGGCAAAGCGTATTGACAGGGCTAGACAAGAGTGGTAGATATAAAGCACAAATATCCATACCCTGAATATTTAGTATGCTATAGGCATTCAAACAGGGGCATTTGTCATCAGGAGCTTTTTTTTTTTTTTTTTTAGATTTTATTTATTTGACAGAGAGTGAGAGAGTGAGCGAGAGAGGGAACACAAGCGGGGGGAGTGGGAGAGGGAGAAGCAGGCTTCCCGCGGAGCAGGGAGCCCGACGCGGGGCTCGATCCCAGGACCCTGGGATCATGATCTGAGCCGAAGGCAGACGCTTAACCGACTGAGCCACCCAGGTGTCCCAGGATGCTGGTATTAAATACAAGATGCCACCAGGCCAAAAGGGAAAGAGGGGGAAAGGGATGTCATGCCTCACAGGGCATGCTGGCCAGAATGAAGACTGGACTCAAGATGTGGGCTGGCAGCAGCTTCTGAAGGCTCTTAGCAAATGAGGTTCAGTTTATCCTTCTGACAAAGGTGGCAGTAGATACCTCTTGCTCAAGAGCTTGTTGACTAGGAAGGGGAGAGACCTTTCCTTGGTGCTATATCCTCACCACCTACATCAAATCCTTTCAATTTCCTTTGTGAAATCATTTTTACCTCATCCTTAACCAAGATCTTTGGTTGGGTTTGAACCCAATTGCAACTTGATTTTCTTTAGTTAGCTGCCTCTCTGGACCTCCTGACAATCACAGCAGCCGGCCAGGAAAAGGGTCTGTCGCGCATTTCAAGCCAATGTGACACCTGAGGTGCCTTCTCTTCCGGGAGAGGGATCAGGAGATGCTCTCTTTCTCCTCCTGGATGATCTGGTTTGGGACAGGAGGCCTGTCACTTTTACTCTGTGGGGAGCCTGACAATCAAAGCCAACAGTATGGAAGGCAGAATGGAGTCCTCCAAATCTTGGGTCCAGATTTTATTTTATTAAAAAAAAAATTTTTTATTATTATTTTCTTTAGTAATACTCTACTCCCAGGGTGGCACTTGAACTCACAACACCAAGGCAAAGAGTCACATGTTCTTCTGACTGAGCCAGCCAGGTCCCCCTTGACTCCTTACTTTGAATAATTTCTTTCTCTGCTACCTACCAGTTCCAGTAACCTTAACCAATTCCCAGCTAATCCCTGTTCTTGATTTTTACAACAGCCTCATAAGCCGGTTCCCACTTCCTGTCCATTCCCTCACCCATAGTCATCCACACTGTTCAGAACAGTGATTGCATCGCTACCCACCCTTCCAAAGTCCCCCTTTGCCTTCAGCCTAAGGTCCAAAAGAGTTTCAGCCTAAGGTCCAAAAGAGTTCAACCATCATCCTTATGCTTTCAACTTCTGTTTCTTGCCTGCCTCGGGTCTCATGTGGCCTCCATCCGTCTAAATTTTCATCTCCAGCCATATCGATCTACTTTCACTTATAGTTCTATAAGACACAGAGTGCATCCTGGAGAGAGGAAAACTTAGAGTTCACCAGATGCAAGACGTTTTCCCCAATAAGATGTGGTTGCATGTTCAGAGTCTGCATATTATACCCTCTCATGAATTCACTGAAGTGGATCATGCTCTGTCTTTGTCTCTGACACCACTCAGTTTTTGTCGATGAAGAGAAGGTATGATCCCTTATTGAGACACATCACACCACTCAAAGACCTCCTGGAATCAGACACATCCCTCTGACTTTTGGTGTAAACACTGCACTTGGGGCGCCTGGGTAGCTCAGTCATTGATCGTCTGCCTTCGGCTCAGGTCATGATCTCGGGGTCCTGGGATCAAGCCCCGCATCGGGCTCTCTGCTCAGCGGGAAGCCTGCTTCTCCCTCTCCCACTCCCCCTGCTTGTGTTCCCTCTCTCTGTGTGTCTCTCTCTGTCAAATAAAACAAAAACAAAACAAAACACAACACAACACTGCACTAACCTGAGAAAGGAGGAGGGACCAATGCGGCATGAAACTTGAGGTCCACTAGGAAAAAAGGAAAAGTTGGAGAATGAAATGAGCCATTTACCTTTATTTAGTTTTTCCTTTTTTTTTTTTAAGTTTTTTAAAGTTTTTTTTTTTTGTTGTTGTTGTTTTATTTTTTTGTAATCTCTACACCCAACATGGGGCTTGAATTCACAACCCTGAGATCAAGAGTTGCTGGCTCTTCTGACTGAGCCAGCCAGGTGCCCCTGTAGTTTCCCTAGTCTTTGATGTAATGCACTAAAATAATTTAATTCCATTTCCTAAGTTAAGGATCCCATTGAAACATTGATATACTAATGGAACCCAATTAAGTAGAAGGTCACTCACTGCCCATTAAGGAAATGCATCAGAGGGAGGAACACATTTTTCCAATATTCTTTCTATTTATAAGCCAAAATGTGAAGAAATGTGAAAGTTATGGTAAAATTATCCCACTGTTCTACATAAATTATCTTCTAGGCAAATGTATTTTAGACACGAAATACCATCATGAAGTGAGTACATTCGAACAATAAATGATGATATTCTTTAAACCCTGTAATACTGGGATTGTTGATAGTGCAGAACTTTTAAGTTGGACGTGCTTCTAAGTTGGTGGGAGGTTTGCCAATTGGAGCAACCATTTGGAAAAATCACTAAAGTGTGTTTACCATTAAGACTTCCACGTGGTCTTATGTTTTCTTTCTAAAAGCCCTGCTATTGTTTAAATTTCTGATACATTTTGTGTCTTTCTTCCTTCAGCAACTGTTTAGTCCCTTTGTATGGCAACAACTATAAAATTGCCCAGAAGATAGAATTCAATTGACTTTCTGCTCCTTCTGATTCTTATAATTAGCATCTCCTGTTCACTACCACCTAGGTATGAGAGGTTCCAATTCTGCATACCAAGAGCCATTCCTATCCCAGGCACACATGACCACTGCCAGCACTTTTATTTCAACTCAACACTGACTATAAACTGGCAGTAGATTTGTTTTCTTCTCTGGGATGGGACAATGAACAGACCTTCTCCTCTGACACACTTCACTACAACCAAGGGGAGAGGGACATGATTTTTTTCTTCCCCCCCCAAACCTTAGCCTCATATTTTTACCTACCTGGCTTCACCAAAGTGTGCCAGACCAAAGTCTTGTGTCTTTTGTCAGTAACGTTAAGTACAATTGGTTCCTCCATCTTCCCAGCATAGACTTTAGAGAATACCTGGATTTCTCCAGGACTCCTGTAGGATAATTTCAACTCCTAGAGGAAACATACCACTTGACTTAAAGTATCAGGAGGTTGCGAGTGGGGTGAAAAGACCTGTTTGCCTGCAGTGAACTGGCCACTGAAATATACTCCATTTCCTATATAGTCTCATGGCTAAATGAGGGAAAAACAGAGGTAGAATGGTCAACAATCTTTTAAGTTTACAATTTTAGGAAATAGTATTATTCCATGGAAGGAAAGATAGCCCAGCTCTTATCAGGCTATGGTTCAGAGAATAGTCACCTGAGCTATTGACCCTCCACTGGTCTTCCATTTTTTTTTCATGTATACAAAATATTTTGAAACCCAAGTTAAATTTGAGTAGATTCAAATTCTACTGACCTTGGGCATTATTTCCAGATGAGGTGAACTGGACACAATATAACGGGAACCAAAATTCAGGGGATCCACTGGTGGTGAGGTCTGTAGACGCACACCATGAAACTTAGCTTCTTCATCATCTATTGCCTGAGGAAGAAGAAAAGAAGCAAATCGGGCGCCTGGGTGGCTCAGTTGGTTAAGCGACTGCCTTCGGCTCAGGTCATGATCCTGGAGTCCTGGGATCGAGTCCCACGTCGGGCTCCCTGCTCAGCAGGGAGTCTGCTTCTCCCTCTGACCCTCCCCCCTCTCATGCTCTCTCTCTCTCATTCTCTCTCTCAAATAAATAAATAAAATCTTAAAAAAAAAAAAAAAACAGAAGACCTATTGGGGCGCCTGGGTGGCTCAGTTGGTTGAGCGACTGCCTTCGGCTCAGGTCATGATCCTGGAGTCCCGGGATTGAGTCCCGCATCGGGCTCCCCGCTCAGCGGGGAGTCTGCTTCTCCCTCTCCCGCTCCCTGCTCTTGTGCTCTTTCTCTCTCTCACTCTCTCTCTCAAATAAATAAATAAAATCTTTAAAAAAAAAAAAAAAGAAAGAAAAGAAGCAAATCAGGAAGCATAGCTAAAAGTAAGCAAAAATATATATATATATGTATATATATTTATATATATATATATCAATAGGCCTCTGGACGTGAGGGGATGTATTTTTTTTTTTTAATTTTATTTTTGAGTAATCTCTATACCCAGTGTGGGGCTCAAACTCACAACCCTGAGATCCACAGTTGCATGCTCCTCTGACTGAGCCAGCCAGGCCCCATACATGGAGGGATGTATTAATAAAATTTTACTGGTGGTTATCTCAGAGCTAGGGATTTCTTTCTTTTTCTTTTTCTTGTTTTTTCTTCTTAGAGGTAGAGAGATGGGGGAGGGGCAGAGGGAGACTCAGAGAGAATCTTAAGCAGGCTCCACACTCAGCAGACAGCCCAACTCTGGGCTCCATCTCAAGACCCTGAGATCATGACCTGAGCCGACATCAAAGGTCAGACGCCTAACCAACTGAGCCACCCGGGCATTCCCCAAGGGATTTTTTTTTATCACAAATCTCTGTATGGTATGATTTTTTTTGGTATAATGTGGCAGGGATTGTCTGAGTGCACCTCAAATCTGGGGACAAAGTGGCTTCCTTCTTCTTGCCCCGGGAGGGGACCATCCCTGTCTGCAGCTGCATCTATAAGGGATGGGGGTAGAGACGACGTCCCTCCATCGTGAGGCTGCTGCCCCAGGAGGTTCTCTTCCACCTGCACACCAGCAAGCAACACAGCAGTGATACCGCCCCAGAGACCCAGAAGCAGAGCAAAGGAGCCCTCAGAACTATCTGAGGGGCCGCCAAAGACACAGAATGGAACTCAAATGACAAAATAATAATAGCATTTGAAAAGTCTCAGCCTCAGCTCAATAGAGACTTTATGGAATCAACGAGCAAGAATCAGTGTCAAAAACAATTACAGTAGGGGCGCCTGGGTGGCTCAGTTGGTTAAGCGACTGCCTTCGGCTCAGGTCATGATCCTGGAGTCCCCGGATCGAGTCCCGCATCGGGCTCCCTGCTCAGCGGGGGGTCTGCTTCTCCCTCTGACCCTCCTCCCTGTCACGCTCTCTGTCTCTCATTCTCTCTCTCGCAAATAAATAAATAAAATCTTAAAAAAAAAAAAAGTACTATTACTAATATATTTATGAAATATTTCATATAACCCCACAAATTATCCTTTAAATATGTAATCAGTATAATTAACATGTATATACGTGCATTGTATTCTATCTTCAAAATCTTTGTGTATTAAAAAAAAATTTATTGCATATCTTAAATTTATAGCACCTCTAAACCGAAGGACTCAACAGCCAGGCATGGCATCTGGCTACCATACTGCATTGTGCAGCTCATCACACAAGCAGGGAAAATTCTCTGGGCAACCAGCAATATTTTGAGTTTAACTTGCGTTTTTTTCTTTTTTAAAGATTTTATTTATTTATTTGAGACCGAATGAGAGAGAGAAAGAGAGCACATGAGAGGGGGGAGGGTCAGAGGAAGAAGCAGACTCCCTGCCGAGCAGGGAGCCCGATGCGGGACTCGATCCCAGGACTCCAGGATCATGACCTGAGCCGAAGGCAGTCGCTTAACCAACTGAGCCACCCAGGTGCCCGATATTTTTAGTTTAACTTGCATTTTCAAGTGGAGAAAAGGTTTCTCCACTCTTCTTCCCCTCCGAAGAGAGGAAGACAGACCACATTTCATTCCTTCTGTCAACATTTCATGAGTGTCTACAACAGGCCTTACATTGCACTTTTAACTAACTTGTGATTAAGAGGAAGTGGTCCCTCCCATGTACAATGTTTACAATCAACAAAAGTACAGACAATAAGCAAATAAAGAGATTTATGAGGCCAATGGAGGGAAGGAAGAGGGTACAATGATGGTACAAGAGCCACATGATGCCATGGACGAAGGAGATGACTTGGTTTATGTCCCTCAAGTGTAGTAAGGATTCATGGAAGAGTCTTAGCCAAGAAGAGGTGCGATTATTTATGTTTGTAAAAGATCTCCCTGTTGCCAGATAAAAAGCAGAAGCTACATGTACAATAATGGAACCAGTGGAAGAAGTCTGAAGGCCTGAGTCATATTTCCAGCAGAAGTCAGCGGAGGAGCGCTCCATCACCGGCAGTGGCGAAGAGGCAATGAAACTGGCTCGAGTCACATTATGAAAGCAAACTCTGAAAGCAAAGAGAGCTGGACTTGAGCATCTCCTTACTGTTGCTCTGTAGGTTGCAAGCTCCCAAAGATTTCAGAGACTATTACGAAAGCAAAACTCACTGGGCTGGAGGATACACTGGATGAGGAAAGGAAATGAAACAGAGAGATGGAAGATAAACTCTAGATCTGGGATCAAATGACTTAGCGGAACTTGGTTTTATATCCTCCATGGAGAAGACAGTTGAAAGAGCAGGGCAGGGCGCCTGGGTGGCTCAGTTGGTTAAGCGACTGCCTTCGGCTCAGGTCGTGATCCTGGAGTCCCGGGATCGAGTCCCGCATCGGGCTCCCTGCTCAGCGAGGAGCCTGCTTCTCCCTCTGACCCTCCCCCCTCTCATGTGCTCTCTGTCTCAAATAAATAAATAAAATCTTTTAAAAAAAAAAAAGAAAGAAAGAAACTACCAAATACCTAGATAAGCTACCAGGAATTTGTCATTGGGGCGCCTGAGTGGCTCAGTTGGTTAAGCGACTGCCTTCGGCTCAGGTCATGATCCTGGAGTCCCGGGATCGAGTCCCGCATCGGGCTCCCTGCTGAGTGGGGAGTCTGCTTTTCCCTCTGACCCTCCTCCCTCTCATGCTCTCTGTCTCTCATTCTCTCTCTCTCAAATAAATAAATAAAAAAATCTTAAAAAAAAAAAAGAGCAGGGCAGTTTTGGGGAAGATAAGGAGGTTAATACATGAGGTAGGTATGCTGATGGGCAGTCAAGTGGGCACATTAAGTCGGGCAGTTCACAGCTGGAGCTCTGGAGAGTCCAGGACAGGGATACAGATTTAGGAATCCTCTCCTTCAGTGGGATTTGGTGACAGGCCTGAGAACAGTCACTAAGACCATCAGTGAGTTTGGGAGATGGGGGGTTTCAGAGCAAGCACCTGCAGAAGTGAAGACCTGGAAGAGGGACCAGAATGGTTAACTAGGAGATTGGGGAAATAGGATGTGAAGGAATAATAGAGAGGACTGTTATCAAGGAAGGGTGAGGCCAACAGCACAACATGCTGTCAGACATCAGGGAAGAATCATCCAATGGAGATATTGAACAGAGCCATCTGAGGAAGTGGAGGTACACTAACCCAGTGAGAGGCATCTGAGGGCAGAGTGAGCCCTGAGGAAGGTACAGACCAGGCGGTCCCTAAAGCTGATGATCCATTCACCAAAACACAGAAGAGAGAAATGGACACTAAGAGGGGAAGGAAAGCATCTCTCTAATATGGTAGCTATGGTCGATCTGGGGTTGCTGATGGGGATGTGAGTCCAGGGTGGGACACACTCACTGAGATGAGGGTAGGTCCTTCCGGGTGTGGTGTCCTCCTGGGAAAGGCCAGAGGGAAATGGATGCAGGATACTTCTCAAACCCTGGCCTTATGCAAGTAGGGGGCAGTCTTATCACTGCAGGAGGGGGCGTGAGGGTGGAGGAGGAGTGAAGCTGGCACAGAATTAGACTTACAAAGTTGATGGCAGGAAAATGAAGTCACTTCCATTTCATTGTTTCTACTGAATCAATAAAGTAGGAGCAAATGATCCTATGAGATTTGGGGTCCAGGAAGGAAGAAAAAGCAGGATGGGCCAGCCTGTGTCCAGAACAAAAAGAAGATCCCAGGGCGCCTGGGTGGCTCAGTCGGTTAGGCGACTGCCTTCAGCTCAGGTCATAATCCTGGAGTCCCGGGATCGAGTCCTGCATCGGGCTCCCTGCTCGGCAGGGAGTCTGCTTCTCCCTCTGACCCTCCTCCCTCTCATGCTCTCTGTCTCTCATTCTCTCTGTCTCAAATAAATAAATAAAATCTTTAAAAAAAAAAAAAAAGAAGAAGAAGATCCCATACGACTTTTTTTGGGTTTTGTTGCTGGTTTTTTGTCCCTGTGTACCCCAGGAACGGTCATCTTTAGCATCGAGATTAAAATATTTTCTTTTGTATTTTAAATACCCACAGTTACTCACAACCCTAATGACCACCAGGCATTCACCTGTCTCTGCTTGGGCTGTAGGAGAATTAACCAATTGGTCAGAAAATCAAATGATCAGGCGCCTGGGTGGCTCAGATGGTTGAGCGTCTGCCTTCGGCTCAGGTCATGATCCCGGGGTCCTGGGATCGAGTCCCACATCGGGCTCCCTGCTCAGTGGGAGCCTGCTTCTCCCTCTGCCTCTCTCTCTCTCTGTCTCTCATGAATAAATAAATAAAATCTTAAAAAAAATAAAAAGAAAAAAAATAAAAAGAAAATCAAATGATCTTCCCCTGTAAAGTCTCCACCAAGGCTGGTACTTTATCTAGGAAAGCAAGGGCTCTAGAGCTTCAAGGGCCACCATGTCTGCTTCAGCACTAACCCAGGAAAGATTGGGGGACTGAGCCTTTACAAAGGCATTAGAGGGAGATGCCACGGCACAAGAGGAGGATGATTCCAGAGGGGCGTGTGTGTGTGTGTGTGTGTGTGTGTATTTAATTTAGATATTATTAATTTCAAATCTACAATGAAATCTCTGCATTACTCCTTCTGCCATTCCCCATACGTCTCGTCCCCTGTTTTCTTTCTCCTTAAAAGCCAGAAAAGACAGCTCCAATTTTAGCAGAACTGAATTCCTATTGCAGATCCTTGCATATGGCTCAAGAGTCAGCACCTACAGACTGAACTCATGGAGGGTGATTCATGCTTCTATCAGTGAAAGCCGTGCATTGACTTTTCTGTTCAATATAGAAACAGAATGTCGAAGGTGATAGGCTGACAGTGTAATTCTCATATCTTCTCCAAAATCTGCCAGCCTTACCTTCATTAACAAGGAGTCGCTGGGGATAAGGTACAAGTGAAATTTAGTATCTTCAGGGTGGAAGTGATAATAGATCAGGACCGTGGAAGTGATGGGGACCGAAACACCGGTTCCACTGGCGATTCTCAGCAGGATCCCCATCAGAGAGAAGCTGGGGTTTTCCAGCACTGCACAGAAAGGCTTCACTCGGGCTGGCGGCTCTAGGACCATCCCCTCATCCTTAAAATGGGCAACTTGGAACCAAGAGATATCGACCTCATTTGCTGTAGGACAACCACAAAGACGATCAGACAGTGTCCCCCACCATCCCCATGGTCTCCCCTCTCCGCTCCTTACCTGGGAGGGAGATGATGTGGGGGAGGTGGATTTCAGCGATGACCCCCTTGGGCTCCACGGAGACCTCAAACAAAGGGCCCGCCACCATCCACTGCTCCTCGTGCTGTAACTTCGGGTCCAGATGCTGACCCCAAGAATCGAACGCAATCCTCACGGTCACTGCTGCTCTTACCAAGAAGCCAAGGTGTGTCGCTGGCCATAGATAGAAGCCAGCCACAGGGAAGTGGACGCTGAAAGGAGCCAGAGTGAGAGTCATGCTGGGAGAAAACCAGGACTTTGATTTAAAGAACAAAAGTGCAGAGGGATGTGGAGCTTGGAGTGGAGCAAGGTTCGAGACCCATCCGTGACTTTCACTACGTTAGAAAACTCTAGGGAGTTAATTAAACTCTCTGAGCCCTGGGGCACCTGGGTGGCTCAGTCAGTTAAGTGTCTGCCTTCAGCTCAGGTCGTGATCCCAGGGTCCTGGGATCGAGCCCCGCATCCGGCTCCCTGCTCAGCGGGGAGCCTGCTTCTCCCTCTCCTCCCCCCTCGTGCTCGCTCTTCTCGCTCATGCTCTCTGTTGCTATCTTTGTCTCTCTCTCTCAAATAAATAAATAAATAATCTTTAAAAAAAAAAAAAACTAAACTCTCTGAGCCCCAATTTCTCTGTATTCTACATATGTTGAAATTAACATATCAACTCAGTGCATAGAAAACAGGGAATATTGACAACATTTCAGATGTCTTTTTTTTTTTTTAAAGATTTTATTTATTTATTTGACAGAGAAAGACACAGCGAGAGAGGGAACACAAACGGGGAGTGGGAGAGGGAGAAGCAGACTCCCCGCCGAGCAGGGAGCCCGATGCGGGACTCGATCCAGGGATTCCAGGATCATGACCTGAGCCGAAGGCAGTCGCTTAACCATCTGAGCCACCCAGGCGCCCAAAATTTCAGATGTCTTAAGGGATGGATCACATACCCTACCATGTAGGTATATACATGTAAATATCACACAGCATATACTTCCTTTATAGGAGAATTATACTGAAACAATCAGCATCTTCGATTCTTACCTGTATCCATTTGCAGTCTTATCAATCAACTCAATATCCACATTTCCTTCAGGTCCTAGAAACTGATTACTTTTACAAGCTGGTTCAACCCCGGAAAAAAGTTTAGGAGCCTGGAGGGGTACTACTGTCTTCTCTTCCAAGCAAGTCTCTTCTGAAAAATACACATTGCACGTGTGAGATGCAGATTGTTAGACATGGCATGACCTGGAGGAATCCTGGATGTCGAATCACATATGTCCCATTGGGAATCCAGACATCAGAGAGAAGGGTATGTGGGGAGAACAAGGGGCTTTGTTCTTTGAATCCAGACAAAGAAAGGCACAAGAATGTTCTTTGTTACTACTGAAACTGCACCCCAAATTCAAAAAGGAAGCCAGGCTGGATGGCTTGGGGGAGGGGGGCGGTATTGCCTCCGGCAGGAACCACAACAACTAAATTTCTACATGGTCCCAAGAAGCAGCTAATACCTGATGCTGGAGAAAGAAGGCAAGTCCATAAAAGGAACAAGCAGGAAAGCTGAAGAGGCAAAGTCACATCCGTTCATCCTAGTGTTTGCCACCATCCATCCCGAGGCACCCCAGACCATTCCCTGGCTCCCCGAGCGTTTCCATCATCCTGCTGGGAGAGCCTTCCCAGCACCATTTGGAGACCCTCCACGCATGGGCTGCTGGACTCTACCCCCAGCATTCAGGCTCTGGGCAAGGATGATTTGCATAGAACAAATATCTCTTCCTGGACGATCGAAGTCTCTGATACACCGTGCTCTGACAAAATCAGTTTATCAAGATTTATATGTGATGGAATCTCATTTTGCAGAGAGTAGGGATTTACACAGGAAAAATAAAAAGTCTCAAACTGTTACTTAACCTTTCTCAGCTTTTCTTCTCTTACCTCGAGGTGTTCTCAATCTTGCTTCCTGGCTGTGTGGTACCTAGAGAAAATAAAACAGTGTCAGCTATTGATGTGTATACAGATGAGTGGGTAAACACAGGAATTGGGCTGAGCCGTAAGATACAGCCAAACCAGTGCCCTGCTCTCCTTGAATCTCACGTGGCTTTCAAACTACTTCACACCACGTGGGACAGTTTCCAACCATGAGCACTTAGAGGTGGAGCATGTAATGACAGGATGTAGGATAGTCAAGTCAGGTAAATGTTTCCAAGGCAACACAGTGAGTATTGGGCTGGTATACATGCTGAATTTGAAGATGGAGCCTATAAGAAAGTCCTAAAGGTGAAATGAGGTCATAAGAAAGAACTCTTAATCCAACAGGACTGGTATCCTGGTGTCCTTATATGAAGAGGAAGAGAGAACAGATCTTTCTGTCTGTCTGTCTGTCTGTCTGTCTCTCTCTGGATACACAGAGGGAAAGCCATGTGAAGACCCAGGGAGAAGGTGGCCATCTACAAGCCAGGAAGAGAGCCTTCACCAGAGACTAGATCTGCCAGCATCTGATCTGAGACTTCCAGCCTCCAGAACGATGAGAAAATTAGCTTCTATTGTTGAAGTGCCCTAGTCTGGGGTATTTTGTTATGGCAGCCCTAGGAGACTCATAAATAGGAATGTCTCCTAACCCAAAGCAATCAGAGTATAAACGTCACAAAAGATCAAGACCCTTAACCACACATTGCTTATTTTTTTGAAGTCTTCACATGGATTAGATTAAAAGACAACAGGCCCCTTTTAGTTAAACCAAACACAATCCAGGGGCGCCTGGGTGGCTCAGTCGTTAAGCGTCTGCCTTCGGCTCAGGTCATGATCCCAGGGTCCTGGGATCGAGCCCCGCATCGGGCTCTCTGCTCAGCGGGAAGCCTGCTTCTCCCTCTCCCACTCCCCCCGCTTGTGTTCCTGCTCTCGCTGTATCTCTCTCCATCAAATAAATAAATAAAATCTTTAAAAAAAAAAAAAAAAATATATATATATATAAAAAACCAAACACAATCCAGTGCTGCCACACCTCCCCTCCTACCTGGAAGATTTCTCACTTCTGAGTTTGCTTTATTTGTCTTTGAAATAGAGTCTATAGGATCCTCTCATAGAGCTTCCATGGACAATAAAAAGAGAATGTGTTTAATATCCCCAAGAGATGGGGCGCCTGGGTGGCTCAGTTGGTTGAGCGACTGCCTTCGGCTCAGGTCATGATCCTGGAGTCCCGGGATCGAGTCCCGCATCGGGCTCCCTGCTCGGCAGGGAGTCTGCTTCTCCCTCTGACCCTCCCCCCTCTCCTGCTCTCTCTCTCTCTCAAATAAATAAATAAATAAAATCTTTAAAAAAAAAAAAATATCCCCAAGAGAGGGTTTGGAATATGGAATCCATTCCAGGCATTATATCCAAGATTACAAATACTTCATATTTGCATTTTGGTTGTAGGGAGGATGGTGTTAGAGATAAGAAAAATTGCTTTTGATCATCACCACCACAAAGGACTTCAAGACTATCTTCACGTAAAACCACAGGACATTTCCATCAACCCACTGACACACCCCTGGTTTCATCTCTATACCAGCCAATTACCTGATTCTTGTGCCTGCGAATATTCCCGCTCCTTATGTTGACCTTGACTGGAACCCTTGAGTTTCAAAAATAAGGAAAATGTTAGATATCAGTTCACAAGGGGTGCCTTACTGGCTCAGTCAGTGGAGTATGTGGCTCTTGATCTTGGGGTCATGAGTTTGAGCCCCCTGCTGGGTGTGGAGATTACTTAGAAATAAAATCTTAAAAAACAAGAAAGAAATAAGTTCACCCAAAAAAATGAAAGAGATGTGATTACAAGCTAGAGCTATTTGTCCAAACAATGGCCTTAGCCAGAAGGGGCCATTTAAACTTTCAATTTAATTAAATTAAATTAAAATGCAGCTCTTCAGCTGTACTATTCACATTTCAAGTGCTTAATACCTACATGTGGCAAATGGCTACCACATTGGCTAATGCAGAATAGAACATTTCCATCATCACAGAAAGTTCTACTGGATAGTTCCATTAGATTCTCAAAAGAGAGACAACCTGGGGGATGCCCGGCTGGCTCAGTCAGTTAAGCGTCTGCCTTCAGCTCAGGTCATGATCCCAGGGTCCTGGGATCAAGTCCCACATCAGGCGCCTTGCTCAGCAGGGAGCCTGCTTCTCCCTCTGCTTGCTGCTTCCCCTGCTTGTGCTCTCTCTCTCTCTCTCTGACAAATAAATAAATAAATAAATTTTGGGGGGGGGGGGCGCCTGGGTGGCTCAGTTGGTTAAGCGACTGCCTTCGGCTCAGGTCATGATCCTGGAGTCCCGGGATCGAGTCCCGCATCGGGCTCCCTGCTCGGCGGGGAGTCTGCTTCTCCCTCTGACCCTCCTCCCTCTCATGTGCTCTCTCTCTCTCATTCTCTCTGTCTCAAATAAATAAATAAAATCTTTAAAAAAAAAAAATTTTTTTTTTAAGAGATGACTTGGACAGAAAGATTTTTTTTTCAAAGATTTTATTTTATTTATTTGAGACAGAGAGAGAGAGAGCACATGAGAGGGGGGAGGGTCAGAGGGGGAAGCAGACCCCCTGCTGAGCAGGGAGCCCGATGTGGGACTCGATCCCGGGACTCCAGGATCATGACCTGAGCCTAAGGCAGTCGCTCAACCAACTGAGCCACCCAGGCGCCCCGACAGAAAGATTTTTTAACCAGATATATGGAGAGTAGAACTAAGGGGATCTCTCAAACCAAATGTGTCTTGACCATTCTACCTCTTCTCCTATTATTCCAGTGTCCAAAGTGGTCATACCTAACTTCTTTTGTTTAAGTTGCCCTGATTGGGCATGTGTTGCTTCAGCTGGCAGTTTGGGAGATGACTCCTGGTATTTCTGAATCTGGTGGGCAAAGGAGATCTGAGGGGCAATACCTGAGGGCAAGTTAGATGCACACTACCCACTCTAAGTCCTTTACTGTGGAGAATGTTCTAAATGAGTTTGCAAAATTTACTGCAGAAAATTCACAGAAACAAGAAGCTGGACTTAGTGAAGGTCAAGGCAGAGGAGGGGAAGAGGAAGAGAAGAAAAAGCAGAAGAGAGGTGGAAGGGGTCAAATAAAGCAAAAAAGGAAGATGGTATCACAAAAGGTTAGGATTGCCAAAATTCCCAGAGCGGAAAAAGAAATATGTAACAGGAATGTGTGGCCTTTCAACTTTCAAAACTGATCTTAAAGAAGCACAGAGAGGGGCGCCTGGGTGGTTCAGTTGGTTGTGCATCCGACTCTTAATTTTGGTTGACATCATGATCTCAGGTTGTGAGATGGAGCTCCGAGTAAGGCTCCACACCAAGCTTGGAGTCTGCTTGAGATTCTCTGTCTCCCTCTCCATATGTCCCTCCCCAGCTCATGCTCTCCCATTCTCTCTCTTTCTCAAATAAATAAGTAAAATCTTTAAAAAAATTTTTTAAGAAAGAAGCACAGTGTTGGGTGGTTTTTTTGTTTGTTTTGTTTGTTTGTTTGTTTGTTTGTTTTGCTCAAAAATTCTCCTGTCGTGCCTCAGTAAAAGGAGAGGATGAAATCATCATTCAGGGAGACTTTATAGATGACATACTGGAGGTCATTCAGGAAAAATGAACAGAGATGGATGATGACGGCATTGAGGATCTTGGAGAAGCAGTGATTTTTGGAAAATCTGTCTATATTTAATGGTCAAAACTGAGAGTTGATAGGGCCAGAAGGAGGGACCTTTTAAAAAAAATATGTATTTATCCTACAGTAAAACTGTAGACTAATCTTACCCTTAGCTTTTGCACTGTTCTGGATGAGGCTGCCTGGTTTTTTGGGTTTTGTTTTTTTTTAACTGCCAAAGTCTACTAAACAGGGGAGGCCATCACGCTTATGCATGAAATAGAATTTAGTCAAATAAGTATTTGGGGTCATTTGGTAAAAATAAATTTTTAAATAAATAGATAAATAGATAGCTCTAATTGGTATCCTATGACTGTTGGAATAAAAACACTGAATTACCAATTGACTCGTGGGTGGAATACATGCTCCCATAGCAGTTCCCCAAACTTGACTGCGCCTGGGAAGCTTTAAAAATTCCCCCCCCCCCCAAAAAAAAGAAAAGAAAAGAAAAAGGGCGCCTGGGTGGCTCAGTTGGTTAAGCAACTGCCTTCGGCTCAGGTCATGATCCTGGAGTCCCGGGATTGAGTCCCGCATCAGGCTCCCTGCTCAGCGAGGAGCCTGCTTCTCACTCTGACCCTCCCCCCTCTCATGTACTCTCTCTCATTCTCGCTCTCTCAAATAAATAAATAAATCTTAAAAAAAAAAAATTCCCCAAAACATGGATCACAGCCCAGACCAATTAAATCAGGGGGCTAGAGGTGGGACCTCAGCATCATTACTTTTAAAGCTTCCCAAATGATTCCAATATTTAGCCAAAGTTGATAATCATGATCTATAGGGTGAGCTAGTGGTTCATGAAGTAAGTGCCTGGTTGTGAGAAATCTGCCCTAACACAGGTGATATTTTCTGGATGAGGACAACCAACTCAATCCAATCTCTGTCTTGGGGAGCTGGAAATGTGGAACGAATCAAGACCAGGGGAATCATACGGCAAGAGTCCTAGCTCCTAAGAAGGGCTGTGATGAAAGAGGACCAAAGCACTGATTTCCGTGGGTACAGTAGTTATTGCATGATTGATGCTGTGGGATCATGAAATGTCATCTAATTTCACTGACATTTTCTTAGATTCTCTTGATTTCTTGCTCTATACATGTAATCCTTGATCCCCAGACTCCTTATATATTCCTTAATATCTCTATTCACTTCAACATGAAAGGGATTCACAGAGAAACTGACAGATAGACTAAGGCTAAAAAGAACAAGTATTTGGAGAAATGGAGTTAAAAAGAATCTGTAGCTCTTTTCTCAAAAGGGTTTTGGGCAAGTCATGTGAGAGAACCTTGACCTGCCCTCCTAAGTCTTGGTGCTATGTCTGGGGCCACAAAATCAGCCATGGATTATGTCAGCCCCATGCAAAGCACTGAGGGTAAATACACCACCTTCTGTTCTCTTATGGTGCTTGTGCGCGCTGGGTTCCAGTGGGTGGCTGTGGTGGGGATTTAGGAGGTGGAAGGAAGCCACTGGTAGGCGGGAGCCGGCTCACCCCAGATCATGGGATTCGACTGTTACATTTTCCGGGAATTTAGTGCGTAGATTGTTAAACATGTTAACGTTTTTTTAAAAGATTTTATTTATTTATTTATTTGACAGAGAGAGACACAGCAAGAGAGGGAACACAGCAGGGGGAGTGGGAGAGGGAGGAGCAGGCTTCCCGCTGAGCAGGGAGCCCGATGTGGGACTTGATCCCAGGACCCTGAGATCCAGACCTGAGCCGATGGCAGACGCTTAACGACTGACCCACCCAGGCACCCCAACATGTTAACATTGCTAACAGAAAATTAAATTCTATAAAATTTTCATTTAAATAGACCTATTTTACAAACAAAAGTAATAAATGTTGAAAGCTTATTACTTTCTAATTATTTTACTACATCTTACTATACTCTGCGCTCTTTTGTTTTTAAGTTTAGTTATATTTATTTTTTTGTAACCTCTACACCCAAGTCGGGCTTGAACTCAGGGTCCCAAGATCACGAGTCGTATGCTCCACTGACTCAGCCAGCCAGGCACCTCTACACCCTCCCCTCTTGAAGTTATTTACATCTAAGGTATCTGTGTGGTGAAAATACTCTTGTAGTGGTGGGGTACTGCACACCTATTTCCAAAGCCATGCTCAGGGTCATCACGTTGGTAGTCTGCAATCCACCATGATGGAAGTAGTCACCCCACAGAAATCGGCCAACACTACACATCAAGGCTTTCCCCCACCTTCCTCTGGGGAACTGGTGCTGAACAATTTCTAGCACACCACTTCAGGGACCCCACTCCATCCTTCAGCCTCAAGAGCAGGCTGTTTCCCAGAGCACTGAGTTAGTTACTCGCATTGACTCCCAGCTCAATCAATGGTCTTTGCATCCGTTACTGCCTTTTTGTGTATAGCTCTCAAGACTTCTGAAGGAAGAGGTGATTGGCCTCATTCAGAAATTTCTGGTTTGTTGGTAAGACTGGATAAATAAGCTCATTCATTCTCCCCGGTTCCTGTGTAAGTGACCCGAATCCCCTGATTCTCATGCGCCCCTGTGATATCGAGGAACGGAATCCAATACTACCATCAACATCCCCGGGTAATCATTCCCCTTACTTGGAAACCGCTTCCTCACAGGACTGAGGTCCAGCAGCAAGTGTTGGCTCTACTGTTATCTCTTCTTCACATTCTGAGGAAGGACAAACCTGGAAGCCCTCGTCCGATGTCTTAAAACTACCGTATACAGATTCGTCACCATATTCACAGGAAGACAGAACTCAAGTTGTGTTACGAATACAGCATGGAGGCCTGGTGGCAGGACAATCTCTGCAGCATGACTTTATGTTAATTAAAAGCCCTAGACCCCATGCTTTGTCTTTAGGGAAATCTTCTCTCAAGCCCCCATAACTCCATCTCATTCCTCATTATAATGGATTTAACTGTGTCTCTACATCCTGCTCAACATTAATCTTTCCATCCTGGGGAAGCAGAACTGAGTGGATTCTCAACACCTGGTACTTTCTGTAAGGTTTTATTTCATAATGGGCTGTTGACCTAAGTGACCTTGGCGAGAATTTTTGAGAGAAGAGAAGATTCCTAGCTTATATTCTCCCTTATCCATCATTGGTGCCCAAGAGAATGGGATCCTACTGTGATTGAAATTCTAGGACATCAGTGAGAATATGCATGTGCTGTAAGAACCCACGTAGTACTATCATTCCTCTTCTGCCTCCTGCTTCTACATGGTGAGGGACTCATGAGGATGCTAAGAGGGAAGGAAACAACGGATATCGGGCTTATTTTCTTCTTCTACTGGGGATCCTCATCCAGATATGGAATAGAAAGCCCTATGCTAGGTGCTTTCTTCTTCACACTTGAGAGCTGGTCTCTGGTCTCCCTTGGCTGGCTGCGATGAAGATTGGGGTTAGGAGTGTCCTTTGGGGGGCGCCTGGGTGGCTCAGTCGTTAAGCGTCTGCCTTTGGCTCAGGTCGTGATCCCAGGGTCCTGGGATCGAGCCCCGCATCGGGCTCCCTGCTCAGTGGGAAGCCTGCTTCTCCCTCTCCCACTCCCCCCGCTTGTGCTCCCTCTCTTGCTGTGTCTCTCTCTGTCAAATAAATAAATAAAATCTTTAAAAAAAAAAATACTACTGGATCATTGTCAATTTCCTGGTTTTGACAATGACTACTGTTATAAAAGATATCATCATTAGGGGAAGCTGGGTTGAATGTAGTTTTGCTTCTTCTGTACCGTTTTTGCTACTTCTCATGAGTCTTAAACTATCTCAAAATACAAAGTTATAATGATGAAAAAGAAAGAAGAAATATGCTGATTTTTACACAAAATAATCTAAATGTCTTTGATTTTCATGAATCTCTATGAGACAGAGGGACAAAATCCAAAATTGTCCACTTTTCCCCACGGAATATAGTGTCCCTTACCTAGAAGCCACTCGACGAAGTCGGGCCTCCGGAGAGTGGGTGACCTTCCGCCTTCTTCTTGACATGTAATTGCGCTCTGGGGACCGTTCCTCTGGGCTTGCAATGCAGCAGGACCCACACAGCCTGGGAAAACGCAAGGGAGTTGTAATTTGATTATGTGTGAGGAACTTGATGGTGGGATGGTCTCTTCACTGTGAGGTAGGGGAAGTAACACAAATTGGATGTTCCATCTTTAGAGAGGCATTCTCTGGTGTCCGCCTGGGATCCACTTATTTCAGTGTTAACTGTTTCTCTGTCTCCACTCAGCAAACAGTGAGCTCATCTCGGGAGGCATGCCTCATTTGATTCTCAACCCCTCATGTTCATCACGTATATACGTGTAATACCTGCTAAGACTCACGACAGACTCAGATATAACTTGTATAACAATATTGCGTACTAGTAACGTAGGGGGGGTAAGAAGTTCCTTATTCTGGGTGCCTGGGTGGCTCAGTTGGTTAAGCGTCTGTCTTCGGCTCAGGTCATGATCCCAGGGTCCTGGGATCGAGCCCCGCATCAGGCTCCCTGCTTGGCAGAGAGCCTGCTTCTCCCTCTCCCACTCCCCCTGCTTGTGTTCCTGCTCTCGCCGTCTATCAAATAAGTAAATAAAATCTTTAAAAAATATATATTACCCCATGATGGAGAGAAAAAGTCTACATAATACGTCTGGATTTTCCCCTTCTGGTATGATGAGATGCATGAATAAGTAAAAATGTAAGCGGATGGGTGCCTGGGTGGCTCAGTCGGTTAAGCATCTGCCTTCCGCTCAGGTCATGATCTCAGGGTCCTGGGATTAAGCCCCGCATCAGGCTCCCTGCTCAATGGGGAGTCTGCTTATCTTTCTCCCATCCACCCAGCTTGTATTCTCTCTTTCCCTCTCTCTCTGTCATAAATAAAATCTTTTAAAGAAACGTAAGCAGAGCCTTTTCTTAAAAAAAATAAATAAATAAATAACAAAGGCCATAGTACTCTGTATTTCGTGGAAAAATAATGAGATACAGAGGAATCAAAGGCATCAAGAGCCCTTAAAGGGTAGTATACCTACTCTCTCCATGTCAGAGAGCATCTCCTGGATCTGTCAGAGGCCATCTCCTGGATCTTTTTCTTAAATGTATCTTTTTCCGTTGATCAGCTGGTGTGTTTATCTCTCTGCTATGTCTCTATTAACCCTGAGAAAAGAAAAGAATATTGTATTCAACTAAGTTGGAAGAACTTGCAGATAAATGTTAGCTGTTGTAACGTTGTATCTCCACACCATAGCCAAAATTGCTTATCGTCCATTCAAAAAAAATACATCAGTTGATTTGTTTCCAGAATGCTAGACACTTGGGAGAGAGACCGAGAAAAGATTATGACTGGGCACCTGGGTGGCTCAGTTGGTTAAGCGACTGCCTTCGGCTCAGGTCATGATCCCGGAGTCCTGGAATCGAGTCCCACATCAGGCTCCTTGCTCGGCAGGGGGTCTGCTTCTCCCTCTGACCCTACCCCCTCTTGGGCTCTCTCTCTCACTCTCTCTCTCTCTCAAATAAATAGATAAAATAAAATAAATCTTTTTTTTTAAAGATTTTATTTATTTATTGATGCTTCTCAATGGGGAGTCTGCTTATCTTTCTCCCATCCGCCCAGCTTGTATTCTCTCTTTCCCTCTCTCTCTGTCATAAATAAAATCTTTTAAAGAAACGTAAGCAGAGGGAGTGGGAGAGGAAGGTCACAGAAAATGACCTAAAAAAAAAAAGAATAGCACTTGGCCATAAAGATCTTTTTTTTTTTTAATGTTCAGCTAGTCACCATACAGTACATCATTAGTTTTTTTTTTTTTTTAAGATTTTATTTATTTATTTGCAAGAGAGAGAATGAGAGACAGAGAGCATGAGAGGGAGGAGGGTCAGAGGGAGAAGCAGACTCCCTGCCGAGCAGGGAGCCCAATGCGGGACTCGATCCTGGGACTCCAGGATCATGACCTGAGCCGAAGGCAGTCGCTTAACCAACTGAGCCACCCAGGTGCCCACATCATTAGTTTTTGATGTAGTGTTCAATGATTCATTAGTTGCGTATAACACCCAGTGCTCATCACATGTGCCCTCCTTAATACCCATCACCCGGCCATATAGACCTTCTAAAATTTGCTTTGCTGGAAGTTTTTACAAGGAGTCTCTAGGTTGAACTCTTAGTAGCCTCTCCAGGCCAGAAGCCAAGCCAAGCACTTGCCATCAGACATGACCGCAATACCTGTAGATTTGGGTGAATTCCTCTTCACGAGGTCTCCAAAGTATCCTGAGTTTCCTGCACCTGCCAGGAAGCGACATTCTTTACTCACCCCGGGGAGGCTGCTGGGAACTTTAGAAGCAAGGTATCGGGCCAACACTTCCAAGGGGCTTTATGGCTCCACGTTTCATAAAGTCAACTTCAGTTCCTTAAAGCTATCTGGTCATATCTGAAATTATACATGTCTTTCTCAAATATGACATTCCAGTCAAAGCCTTGGCAAAATAACCAATGTTTCTAATGGTGTTCTGTTACAGGGAGAACAGATTCTTATTGAACTTACGCAAATGACTATAATTGCCATGGAAGAAAGAATATTCAGAGAGACCTTTTGAATTTCAGAGGGTGTAGAGAGAAAAGTTAACTGCTTCAGTTTGTTTACAAATGCGTACTTGATTCCATTTCTGGAGTCATAGTTTTCTTAAGAGAAAGGTTTTTTAAGGTTTTTTTGTTGTTGTTTTTTAAAGATTTTATTTATTTATTTGACAGAGACACAGCGAGAGAGGGAACACAAGCAGGGGGAGTGGGAGAGGGAGAAGCAGGCTTCCTGCTGAGCAGGGGGCCCGATGCAGGGCTCCATCCCAGGATCCTGGGATCATGACCTGAGCCGAAGGCAGACGCTTAATGACTGAGCCACCCAGGCGCCCTAGACATATAACATTTTAATAATTACAGTGTTAAGTGATGACCTTATTACCAGAACATAGTAAAACCTTAGGAATTGTATATCATCCCTAGAATAGTTAGAGCGTTTACCCAGACAACATAACCTAAGGCTTATCATGATTTGTTTGATGGTGCTTTCCAGGTAACTTAAGGTTCCAAATAAACAAGCCTAATTGGTCCAAGAGACTTCATTTATAATTTAAATCTTAGGGAAGTTTGTTAAAAACCTCAGAAAGTTATAAAGCACATGCCTACGTAGGATTACAGATCATTATAAAACCCAAAACTTGGGTGCCTGGGTGGCTCAGTTGGTTAAGCGACTGCCTTCGGCTCAGGTCATGATCCTGGAGTCCTGGAATCGAGTCCCGGGTCGGGATCCCTGCTCAGTGGGGAGCCTGCTTCTCCCTCTGACCCTCTCCCCTCTCATGCTGTTTCTCTCTCTCTCAAATAAATAAATAAATAAAATCTTTAAAAAAGTTAAAAAATAAAAAAATAAAATAAAACCCAAAACTTAATTTTATTTATTTGATCAAAATGACAATAAGGGGACGCCTGGGTGGCTCAGTTGGTTAAGCAGCTGCCTTCGGCCCAGGTCATGATCCCAGGGTCCTGGGATCAAGTCCCGCATCGGGCTCCTTGCTCAGCGGGGAGCCTGCTTCTCCCTCTCTCTCCCTCTGCTTGTGCTCTCTCTGTCAAATAAATAAAATCTAAAAAAAAAAAAAGACAATAAGATTCCAAAGGCAAATATGTAGGGTCATATAGTTGTTAGCAAAATTTAGCTCCTTTGGGCGCCTGGGTGGCTCAGTTGGTTGAGCGACTGCCTTCGGCTCGGGTCATGATCCTGGAGTCCCGGAATCGAGTCCCACATCGGGCTCCCTGCTCGGCAGGGAGTCTGCTTCTCCCTCTGACCCTCCCCCCTCTCATGCTCTCTCTATCTCGTTCTCTCTCTCAAATAAATAAATAAAATCTTTAAAAAAAAAAAGAGTAGACCAACAATTTAGCAAAACTTTGTCTTTTGAACAGAGAGAAAGCAGAATTTCAATATTCTCCCAGTGTACCTTTAAAATCCATTCATTTCAGGACACCTGGGTGGCTCAGTCGGTTAAGCATCTGCCTTCGGCTCAGGTCATGATCCTGGAGTCCTGGGATCAAGTCCCACAGCGGTCTCCTTGCTCAGCAGGGAGCCTGCTTCTCCCTCTGCCTGCCACTCCCCCTGTTCATGCCCTCTCTTTCTGACAAATAAATAAAATCTAAAATAAAATAAAATAAAATAAAATAAAATCCATTCATTTCAATCTTAGTCCATCCTGACCACATATGAAATCTTTCCCCAAAGATTTCCCTTCATAAGCCTTCTACAAATTTCCTTTGCATTCAGATTTCATCCCAAGCCATTTCTTCTCAAACAACCAGTCTTATTTAGGACAAAATTACCTTCTTTTACCTTTAACAAAAATGTATTCCCATTCCTTACATCTTGCTTATGTATCTCCTACTTTTCTACATACAGAGTTACTTTCCTTATTTCCATCAGTCTCAATTACACTTAGCAGAATTTTAACTCTTAGCAACCTTAATCTCCAGTGAAAATTAAGTAGTAATCAATGGTGAACTGTTATACCAGAACTCTTTAGATGGCAAATTTATGAATCAGTTAAGCACAAAGCATGTTTACCAACAGATTCAAATATTTTATCTTATTTTTTTGCAATAAGAAGTCAAAAGCATAAGCCTATGTCCAGTAATCCATGCTTTAGTACCTTATCCTGTTTGGAGAAGACCTGGATGTCCAACGAATTCAATCCCAATTTATCATCCAAGCAAAACTTTAAAGTTTCAGGTTACCAACAACTTTTATTTTATTTTATTTTTTAAGATTTTATTTATTTATTTGAGAGAGAGAGAATGAGACACAGCAAGTACACAAGTGGGGTGAGGACCAGAGGGAGAAGCAGACTCCCCACTGAGCAGGGAGCCCGACTTGGGACTCAATCCCGGGACTCCAGAATCATGACCTGAGCCAAAGGCAGTCGCTTAACCAACTGAGCCACCCAGGCACCCCTACCAATGACTTTTAAAGCTCTCTTAACAATTCCCCATGAAACCTCTGAGACAGAAAATCAACCATCATTTTAAATTATCTTTTTGCTCACAAACTGCAACAAAGGGGCACCTGGGTGGCTCAGTGGGTTAAGCGGCTGCCTTCAGCTCAGGTCATGATCCTAGGGTCCTGGGATCCAGTCCCGCATTGGGATCCTTGTTCAGCGGGGAGCCTGATTCTCCCTCTCCCTTTGCTGCTCCCCCTGCTTGTGTTCTCTCTGTCAAATAAATAAATTTTTTTTAAATTTATTTGACAGAGGGAGAGACAGCGAGAGCAGGAACACAAGCAGGGGGAGTGGGAGAGGGAGAAGCAGGCGGAGCAGGGAGCCCGATGCGGGGCTCCATCCCAGGACCCTGGGATCATGATCTGAGTCGAAGGCAGATGCTTAACGACTGAGCCACCCAGGCACCCCTCAAATAAATAAAATCTTAAAAAAAAAAAAAAAAAAAAAAACCTGCAACAAAGATCATGAGCTTATTTGACCTCCAGTAAATTTTGGTAGAATAAAAGTTTCAGATTTAATGTTGATAACTTTCAAGACATGTTTTATTTTAATTAAACCAACGAACTTAAATAGTTTAAATACCAAATTATATTCCTCCTGGGTTCTCTTTCAGAAGCCAATCAGTTTGTTTCCCATTGTCAGTTTTTACCTGAGGCACTGGCGGGGAAATCTGAAGTGAATGGTGTCCAAAGGCCGACGTACCCAAGATGGTGCAGAAACAGGAAGAGGAGAGAGAAGGGGAGGAGACAGAAGAGGCAGAGTGCTGCCCAAAGGCGGAAAAAGGAGGTTCCCGGTCCTAAAACCTGTCAGCCCAGACAGATGAGCAGACAGAGATTTTTGTTCATTTGTTTTTCCCCCTGTGAAATTAGGCTGCCCATGTCAGGCCAGAGAAGGCAGGGAATGTGCCTGATACAAAGGGAGTTTCGGCAGCTGTTTGGGAATATTCTGGAAAGTTCCCATCCTGGGGTAGACTTAACTAGAAACAGTTGGTTCCAATTATAGCCGTTAACCCAGAAATGAGGGAGAAGCTCCCACATCTGTTAGGAGGAGCAGTGAGAAGAGTGAGAGTCAGCATCCCCTTTGCCAAGGCGGGCCTGTATTTCCTCCAGCAACCTGGGTTTATTCTGGGGAGGTCTACTTAGATAATTACCATCCAATATGTCAGGAGGGAGTTTATTAGTCGGACCCGTTCGGGCAAACACGTTCTGCAAGAGGCCCTTAGGTCGGGGTCCCGGTGTAGAGCAATGAAGATCCCCTAGGTCCATTTGCCTGTGTCTTGCAGAGGAGATCTTAACGGATAGATCCCACTGAGGCCATGTGGTGTTACAGGAACTCAGTCCTTTCTTAAATTTCGCAATCCGAATTGTTTCCGGTGGCACCCCGAGAGAGAAGAGAGAAGGTCCGTTATCCAAAAAAAAAAAAAAAAAAAAAAACCCAGTGACTCCTGGGTGGCATCCCACACAGGGTATGTCAGAAGTTCCTGGTGTCAAAGTGACCCAAGGCGTCCCCTGAACCCAATCACTGGGATCACCGCCCGTTAAAGGCCCCATAGGAGGGATGCTAGTGTCCTCCCCCATGACCCCAGGCTTCCCCCATCACCTCCTAAGCTATACGTAGGTGCTTGACATATGGACCGAAATACCCTGCCTTGGAGGTTGGGCTGCAAAGGTCACTCGTTATTTTACCTTGCTGAAGAACCCATAGCTTTTAACCCATGCAAAACACTAGAAAAGTTTTACGAGGGGAAGTTACCCAATTTTGCAGTACTCGGTCCAGAAGAGTCCCCTCGAGGATGGCCTGTTTCCCATCTCAGGAATCCAGTTCGTTCCCGTCCGTGTCATAGAGACATGCCTATGAGGGCGTCCCCACATACCAGCTCTCCGTTCCCTAACCAAGGCATCCCTTGGCGACCCGTCCTAGAGTGAGAGAGTGGCCTAACACCCTGGGACACCACAAAGTCAGGCCGGCAGGAATAACCACTCTGCCCTGCAGCCGACACCCAACCCTCCCCATCCTCTGGACTAGCACTGAGTGAATATTTTAGGTAGCTCAACCATAGTCAAGGGTGCAAACTGATATCTAGGGATTTGTGGGCAGGTATGTGCTGCTTGTGGAGAAAGCTTCCCGGGGCTGTGACCTCCAGGGACGGTCTCCATCCTTTTTACGTGTCTCGGACACCCCACAGTCATTTATGATGTCCAGGGCAGGCTCAGAGCACGGGATAGCCAGTCCTCGTGTGCGCTCCCCGGATGAGGCCTGAAATTAGGGGAATTCTAATTCCTCCTAATTCATTTTGTTTGCACCCAAGGCTCTGGTAAGCAAATGCCCAGTTAAGAAAAAACACAAGTGTTCACACAAAAAGATTTTTTAAAAGTTTATTTATTTAAGTAATCCCTACACCTAACATGGGGCTCGAACTCACAACCCTGAGACCAAGTCACATGCTCCTCTGACTGAGCCAGCCAGGTGCCCTGGGAAAGATTGATTCATTGGCGATCATGGAAATGCCCATGAAAACCACCATGAGATACTATTCTCATCCACAATAGGAAATAGGACAAAACCAAGGGTAAATGAAGAGGTGAAGCAACAGAGACTCATAAACTGGCAGTGAGTGGATTTTGGAGAAAACACAACCACTTTGGAGGATAATTTGGCTACATCTAGAAAAAAAAAAAGATTCAAGCATTGAATTGCTTTGGATCAGCAACCCCATTCCCAGAGTCTCATATAGACACCCGGAAACGTGCAGAAAAAGTTGATTGTGTTATCGCCTGCTATTGGGAAGAAAGTTGTAACTAGCTAAATGTCAATCATCAAAAGAATGGATACATCAATCATGATGCCATCACTAATTAACCTGATAGAGCAATTAACAGGAACTAATTAGGGTGTGTGGCTGGCTCACAGAGCACTCAACTCTTAATCTCAGGGTCATGAACTCAAGCCCCACGTTGAATGTGGAGTCTACTTATAACAAAACAAAATAAAAAAAACAAAAAAACCTCTCCCCCCCAGGAATTAATTAGAACCACATGGTAAACATGAACAGATACAAAAATATATATATATATACCGATTAAAAACCAAATTGCTTAAAACATGGATTACAGCATGATACTAAGCAAATAGAAATTTTCAAATAATACGTTTAGAAATCTATGAATAATGCAGGAGGATTAAGGCCAGTTTCTGGACAGCAGTTACAGCTGAAGGGCTAGATGCCTTCCAGAGGGAGCTCCATGCACAGCCTCGGTTTTATTTAAAGTATGCTATTGTGGGTGTAATCTCCTCTATTTAAAAGAAAGGTTTGTGTGAGCCTATTATAAACTCTGCAAAACTGAGTTTAATTTTGCTTTCTTCTGGCTCAGATCTAACCACAATGACCTCAGCTTCCGAAGGTCACGAAAACCCACTTCCCCTATGTTGCTGATTTCAAAAGGAGTTTAGAAGTAGGCAATCCGCCCCTAAAAGCTACTCCCATTTGTCCCTCCCTCCCCTAAGGCCACACCACCTGCTCTTTTCCTGCAGTGCTTACCAGCCAAATCTCAGTTTCCCCTGGATACAGAACGGAGAAGTCGGGGCTGGTGGCTCCGACGTCCCTAGGCTGCTCTAGGTTCTGTTCATTTGGGAAGGAGCACTCCAAAGGGAAGGGGCCCAGGCTGAGTCAGATGTGAAATAGGGACCTCCCCTTCTTAAATGAAGAAATCCTGCCTCCTGTTATTTATAACCTAATGCTTTCCCAGGGAGATGTGTGGTTACTGACACTCTATTTTATTTTATTTTTTGATTTTATTTGCAAGTAATCGCTATACCCAAGGTGGGGCTCGAACTCACAACCTGGAGATCAAGAGTTGCCTGGTCTACCGACTGAGCCAGATAGGCACCCCACTGATACTCATATTTAAATGTTTCTATAAGGGGCGCCTGGGTGGCTCAGTCATTAAGCGTCTGCCTTCGGCTCAGGTCATGATCCCAGGGTCCTGGGATCGAGCCCCGCATCGGGCTCCCTGCTCCTTGGGAAGCCTGCTTCTCCCTCTCCCATTCCCCCTGCCTGTGTTCCCTCTCTTGCTGTGTCTCTGTCAAATAAATAAATAAAATCTTAAAAAAAAAAAAAAAAAGAACTTAGCAACATAATCCTCTTAATTAACTAGTTCCTGAATTTGTCTCCACCATGAAACACCTGAATAGACTCATTAATCAGTTACTCCCCATCCCTCCCTCTTCCAGCCCCCGGTAACCATCAGTCCGCTTTCTGTCTCTATGGTTTGCCTATTCTGGACATTTCACAGAAACAAAGTCATTTATATGCTGCCTTTTGTGAATGGTTTCTTTCCCTTAGCATAATGTTTTTGAGATTCATCCATGTGGAAGCACATATCAGTACTTCATTCCTTTTTATGGCTGAATAATATTCCACTGTATTGATAACCACATTGTGTTTACCCATTGATGGACACTTGAGTTGTTTCTACCTTTTGGCTCTTATAAATAGTCCTACTATGAACATTCATGCACAAGTTTTTCTATGAAGACCTGTTTTTAATTCCTCTGGGTATGTACCTAGAAGTAGAATTGCTGAGTCATATGGTAATTCTATTTAACTTTTTTTTTTAGATTACTTTTTTTTTTTTCAATTTAGAGAGAGAGAGAGAGTGAGGGCAGGGAGGGGCAAAGGGAGAGGAAGAGAGAATCTTAAGCACGCTCCATGCCCAGGTGAAGCCCAATGTGGGGCTCGATCTTACGACCCCAAGATCATGATCTGAGCCGAAATCAAGAATCAGACGCTTAACCAACTGAGCCACCCATGTGCTCCATAGATTTCTTTTTTTAAGTAATCGCCACACTCAACGTGGGGCTCGAACATACAACCCCGAGATCAAGAGTTGCATGCTCTACCCACTGAGGCAGCTGGGCACCTCTATGTTTAACTTATGAAGGAAACCTGGGGAGTAAGTTTCTTGGGATCTTAGGAATTTTTCAAAGATGACTCTAACGTGAAAGCAAGATTTGGAATCTCTGCCCTAGGACACATCCTGATCAGATTTTAGCATGCACCCTCCTAGTTAAGCAAGTGTTTGGTAGAGAAGATCTCCAAATTATCCCACAGGGCATTTGAGAAATATGCTTTGGCATTTCTTATGGTGGGATTCACCGTTTGGGGAAAGTAGATGGGAACAAAAACCAGGGTGATAATATCCAAGATTGTGGATGGTTTTCAAATGTACAAATTACCCACGGGATATTTCAGAGAGTCGTGTTAGTGTTCTCACTTGCGAGGTTCAGACTTCGGAAAAATTAGAAAAAATTATCATCGGTGACTTCATTTATGAATACTGATACATTTCTTCACATGACTTCCAGCGTCCCTGCTAAGCGGCCAGCTCATCCTTCCCAGCAGAGAGCAGGGTCAGACATTAATTCCCCGGGACTTGTCTGCAGGAGGCAGGGAGGGAAGATGATGTCCATCCTGACCTCCCACATCTTCAAATCATGGTGTCCTCCCACTTCCTCTGAACACCTGTAGCTGGAGTTCAGAACTCCACATGAAGGAGTCTTGGCCGATTCCTAGAAAGGCTACCACCCTCTGTGAATTGCTCAAATATTGATGTCCTAAGAATTGTTTTTCTCTGGGAACTGGCTTCCCATTTCACATCTGGGAAATAACCACTCAGAATGTTATCCTCCAGGAGCACCCGGCTGGCTCAGTCTGTGGAGCATGTGACTCTTGATCTCAGGGTTGTAAGTTCAAGCCCCACATTGGGTATAGAGATTACTTTAAAATATTAAAAAGAAGAAGAAGGAGGAGGGGGAAGAGGAGGAGGAGGAGGAGGAGGAGGAGGAAGAAGAAGAAGAAGAAGAAGAAGAAGAAGA